CATATACCGTGCACCTGAAACTGATATAATACCGTATGTCAATTATACTTCAATTTTTAAAAATGGTCAAAAAAAAGAAAAAAGTGCAAAACTCTGCCCCCAACAAGGATAGTAAATCAAAACAGTCTAGATCCCCAATGTGGCAAAAATTTACGACACTCTTGAAAGACCTAGAGGATGCATCATAGCTTAATTTATCCCTCTGCCCAACGTGGGGCTCAAACTCACAACCCTGAGATCAAGAGTCACATGCTCTACCGACTGAGGCAGCCAGGCACCCCATTTATCGTAGCTTAATTTAATTGACCAGTCTACTTACTATGAAAACCACGGATCCTCTAGAACAACCTACTGCAAACTTAATCAAGTAGTAGCCCCAATTGCAGATATGGTCTCTTTTCATTCATTCTTCTTCTTCTTCCTTCTTCCTTCTTCTTCTGCCTCCTCCCCCTTCCCTCCTCCTCCTCCTCCTTCTTCTTTTTTAGTGGTAAAATACACATAATATTTACCATCTTAACCACTTGTAAGTGTGCAGTTCAGTGGCATTAACGTAACCACCAACACCATCCATCCCCAGGACTCTTTATCTTGAAAAGTGGATCTCTGTCCCCACTGAATCCTACCTCCCTCTTCCCTTCCCCCAGCCCTTGGCACACACCATCCTCAGAGGTGGTGTCTTTGTTAGAGCAGACTAACCTGGCCTCAGGTGTATGGTGAGGCTATTGACTCAGACACAGGGAATCAGAACCCTTGGAGGTGGGACCTGGAAATCTGCTTTTCACAAGCTTCCCAGAAAGAGGTAAAGAAAAAAAGTGTCGGGGCACCTGGGTGGCTCAGTCGTTAAGCGTCTGCCTTCGGCTCAGGTCATGATCCCAGCGTCCTGGGATCGGGCCCCGCATCATTGGGCTCCCTGCTCCGCAGGAGGCCTGCTTCTCCCTCTCCCACTCCCCCTGCTTGTGTTCCCTCTCTCACTGTATCTCTCTCTGTCAAATAAATAAATAAAATCTTTAAAAAAAAGTGTCATAAATGCAGTAAATGTTTGTGTAAATATGTATCTTGTAATATAATAGCCTGCAATGAATGGATGCAGCAAATGGAAGGCATTTACCTTGTTATTGTCATTTGAGCATTCTGGACTCTTAAATTTGAGCATTGAGAGTCCATTCTGAATTTACCAGGAGGCTGATGAAGCTTAAGCTCGGATCTGTTCCCAAGCAAGGGCATAACATGGTAGAATGTTCTGGAACAGAGGAAAGGCCAGGGTTGTCACCAGGAAGTGTGTCTGATGAATTGCTTAAAGAGAAACCAAAAGCATGGACATCAATCTGCAGGCACCACTAGTTTGATGTGACTTACTTTTTCACTCTGAATATTTTCACACCAAGTCTGTATTCATAATTTTATATTAGAATGTATCCACACAAAACCTGGATCTGCCTCTGATTTCTGAGGTCTAGAATGGTTCTTTGTTCTTTAAGAAGTTGGCTCCATTCTCCCTCAGGTTTGTAATATACCAATCACCATGGCAGGTGGCTCTGGACCCAGCCTCCACAAGAGAACCAGCAGTGGGCACATATTCAGCTGGGAATCTCCTTCCTTAACCCGCAGGCCAGTGAACCCTGCCTCCCAAAGCAGGCTCCTGTGACCAGCCACTGGGCCCCTGCTCCCTCCTGCCCTGCAATGGATCTCAGTGACAAGACATCACACTCGCACGTTGGGCGTGCCCATTAAGTGCCTTTCTCACGCCCCTGAAACCATTCAAAGTTTCATTATAGCTGCCTTAAGTGCCTGGGGCTATGCCAAGGTCCTCTCAAAACCCAGAGTGAAACTAGTTGCTCACTGGGAACCCTCAGTGGGTGGCAGCCTTCTCCTCCACATCACATGCCCAGGCAGCTCCCTGCAGGGCAGTCACCTGGCTGTGCAGGGACACACATGCACACACACATACACGCACGCACACACAGGTACTCGGTCAGTATCCCGGAGACACAGCCACACTGGTAAGTGGCCAGGCAAGAAGTAAAACCCAGGGAAAAAACACCATTGGCTGGGTTAGCTCTTCTCTGGGACATCTATGGCAACCTCGTGTGTTTTTAAAAAGTAAATACAGCCACATGTTGATGTTTCAAGTAGGAGGTAGCTGCACATGATGGAGAAGCTCCCTTTGTCCCATTGCTGTCTCCAGCGTGGTCATCCCAAAGCATGATGGGGAGGGGGGTTCTGCAGAGCTGCGCATTTTTCCAGACATTCCCCACAGGCTATGTTCCTTCTGATCCTATTACAGGGAAACAAGTGGGAGACTCATTGGCAGAGTCTGGTAGTCACAGGCAGAGAAGAGCAATTTGCAAATGTTTATTAAAGGAGTCCTCCTTGGCAACCTGCTCTTTATCCTCACTCATGGAAGCGAGATTTGACCTTTCCAAATTAAGTGGCGCCAGTGGGGTGGGGGGAGGACACGTGGGGTTTGGCCCCAGCCTGAGTTTCCCAGACAGCTCAGTGCTCTGGTCATTGGATCATTTCACCCACAGGTTTATGAGAGACACAGGAGCCTTTTCTCCAACCAAGCGTGATAACCAGACAGAGTTCAAGAGTTAGATTCAGTCATGGGACCAGAGCAGAGAGGGCATCCTAAGAGCTGGCCAACGAGCACGATGTGGACATTGTTAAAGCTCACGAAATGCCCCCGAGTGAGGCAGCCTCCCTCCCACATAGAAAAAGCCTGCACTGCCCTGGACTCACCTTCAGGAACACCTGGGGAGGTGCCTGCAGGCGTCCCGTGGAGGAGGCTGGTGTTCCTATTTCATAAGCCCAGCTCAGAACTTCTGGGCAGCTCTTTGCCCATCCTTGCTGGGAAACCGGCTTCTCGCTGCCGGCCCAGAACCCCACCTACCTGGGCATGCCTCAGCTCCCTGCCAGGGCCCCGGGGGGCCGCCTGGTTCAGGTTCCCTGGAACGCCTGATCCTATGAGTCACTGGCCTGTCTACCTTCCCATCCTCCCTGACTGCTTGTAATACAGCTTGGTTGGAGTCAGGGGCTCAGAAGCAAGAAGTGGCAAATATGACCCAAAGGAGGAAAGGGGCCTCTGGTGGATCAGTTCTTACAGAGTTCAAACCTGTATGGAAAGCTCTTATTTATTAGGGAAAAAAAGGAGCCTGCTCAGTGTGTGCCCAAGGCAGAGTCCTTCACCCAGAGAGGAAACTTGACCTTATGTGGTGGGTGTGGGCGTGTAGGTTACCTGCCCCTCCCCCACTTGCTCTAGGCAGCTCGGGAGAGCAGGCTCACACTCTTGGGAATGGGGGAAGCAAGCAGACACTGCTCTCTCTGCTCTCCACACCCTCCCCCACATTTGTCCTCCGGATATACAGGCTTTGGTGGAACAGAGTTTCAAAGTGACATTAGGGCCTGGGGGTGGGAGTTGTGGCAAAAGGTTTCAATACAGCCATCCATGGTCCAGTGACATCACCTGTTTGTTAGATCACGATATTTACTGAGCAGCTACCATGTGCTGAGTTCCATGGGGACACAGAGGGCTCAGCCCTAGCCCTGCCCTCCAGGAGCTTACAGTCCAGCCAGCTGGGCCTGTGAGGACAAAGGACAGCACACCTTGCTGGGGGCTCCCCTGCTGTCTTTTTTTTTTTTAGATTTTTTTTTTTTTATTTATTTGACATAGCGAGAGAGAGCACAAGCAGGAAGAGCAGCAGAGGGAGAAGCAGGCTCCCTGCTGAGCAAGGAGCCCGATGCGGGGCTCGATCCCAGGACCCTGGGGTCACGACCTGAGCCGAAGGCAGACGCTTAACCGACTGAGCCACCCAGGCGTCCCTCCCCTGCTGTCTTAACATTGACTCCTTCGATAACACCCACAGCTTCCCACATCTGGCCACCCAAATCAGTGCCCGGGTCACCAGGGGTTTTTGTGACATACTTGGATCTGGTAAACACCCCCACCCCGTCAACTCTTGTCCCTAGTGCCCTGGTCCCTTGCTCAGGATGTTGGACTGGGGGCTGTTGGGAGTCCCAAGCTCCCTGGAGTGCTCGGTGAATCCCCGAGAACCAGGAGCGTGACCAGCAGGCCGCAGGTGCCCCTGCCTTCTCCTGGGCACCCAAGACGGGGGGCCACACGCCCTTCCCTGGGTCTCCTCAGACTCCCCTTGCTTCTGGGCAGAAGGAAAAGAAGTCTGAGAAACAAGTGGTTTCCGGTAACCTGTCCTGACAGGAAAGGTTTTTCCCGTTCCTTTACTTGCTGTTATCTGCAAGGAAATGGAATTTCTGCTGCTCCAGGACACAGGCTTGCTCACCTCACATTGGCACTGACTCAAGCTTCCTTGAGGCCACAGGGCACCCTCCTTCTTATCCCACCCCTTCCTCACACCCCAAGGCCCCCTAGACTGCTGTGTGGTACACAGGTGGTCACTGAATGCTTGGGGAAATAAGCCCTTCCCAAGACCATCTTACCACGCCTTCACCCCCAGCAACACAGAGCCCTGGCTGCACCCTGTCTCTATCAAGGCAAGCACAGGACAGGAGAGCCCAGGAGTGGGGGTGATGGCTGCCCAGCCCGCAGAGCTCCTCAGGCCATTGCTATTGCGTGTCCAGAGGTGCCCAGGCTGAGCTGTAAGGAGGCAGCGACCAGTCAGAATAGAGGGCTGCACCCGGCTCCGGTGAGCTCCTGGCCCAGCGTTTGGGCTGGTGCCAGTGCTGGGGCCCAGTTCTAGAGCCACTTCCAGCAGATGAGGAAGGGAGCTCCTTCCTCCCCCTGCAGCCACCTGCCCCCTTCTCCAGCTCAGACACACGCAAGAGGTTGGGCTGCTCTCATTTCCTCGAGCTGAGCCCCCACGGCCTTCAGTTGGCCACACAGATCACAAACATCCGGGTTCCAGCCTGGGGGTGGGTGCTGAGCTGGTCCCCCGTGCGTAAAGAGCAGCGGGCACCACGAGTTTCCTCATTTGGCCTGGCGCTCCCGGTCTCTTGCAGTCAGCGGGGTCCGCGGCCTGGCGAGGGGGCTACCAGGGCCTCCAGAGGCCTGGGCCTCGGGGAGGCGCAGGCGGCGCAGGCGCAGGTGCGGGCGGCGGGGAAGGCGCGGCTGCGCCACAGGAGTCCCCAGCGCGCCCACCGTCGGGGGTGGCGCCGGTCGCCCTCCGCCGCAGGTGCTCCAGCAGGCGGGCGCTCACGGCGGGCTCCAGGAGGCGGCAGGCGGGCAGCACGCGGGCCAGACGTGCCAGGCAGGCGCGGTAGCCCTCACCGTAGCTGTCCGAGGGCGCTGGGGACCGAGAGAGGCGTGAGGCGCGCGGTGGGGTGCGGGGCGGCGGGCGTGGGGCAGGGCTGCGGCGGGGCGGGTCACTCACTAGGCGCTGCGGACGCGCAGGAGGATGCAGGCAGCTCCTGCAGGAAGCGCACGGTCATTTCCAGGATGTCCGCCTTCTCCAGCTTCGAGTAGTGGGAGCTCTGCGCCCGGCCACGAGGGAGAGGGGCAGAGACACGGACAAACGAGACAGATCTCCGGCAGACTGCCGTGAGCACCAATCTCTTGCCTGCGTCTCGGACGCCCGTGGCCCGGGGTGGGGCGGCTCCTCGGCGCCAGCCCCACTTCGGCTCGGCCTCCCGCGCCGCGCGGAGCCCCCTCGCCGGCTCCTTGGGCAAGGGCCCCTCAGCCCACCCGCCCTCCTCGCGCTGCGCCCCGGAGCCCCCACCCCGGCCCCCGCGCGCCGCGGCACCCACCTCCCTGCCCAGTAGCGGCAGGATGAGCCCCTTGAGCTGTCTCAGGCTTGCGTTGATGCGCGCGCGGCGGCGCTTCTCCAGCAGCGGCTTCAGGCTCTGCGGACGGGCGCCGAGGCCAAGGTTACGCGGGTCGCAGTCCCGGTCCCCGCCCCGGCCGCTCAGCCCTCACTCCCCAGCTCCTACCTTGCGCAGCTCCGCCGGGTCCCCGGATCTCCGAGGTAGCCCCATGCTCGGCGGAGAAGCGGCGCCGCTGGGGGCCCCGCGTGTAGGAGACCTGTGCCCGCGCGGACACGGAGCGCAGACCCAGGCCCGAGGGGAAATCCCGCGCGCTGCAGGAGCCGGCGCCGGAGAGGTGCACACCTCGCCAGCCGCCCTGCTTTAAGGAGGCGGCGTCGCCCGCCCCGCCCCGCCCCATCCCTCCCCAAGGAGTCTGGCTGCCTGCGGGTCCCACCTCCGCCTTTGTTCCTTCGCCGGGTTGGGGCGGGAGGGGGACGGCAGAGCCCCCGGGGTGCCGCTCCTGGCCTCCGCATCCCATCTGCGGCGGGGTCGCGGGCCGGGGGCGCACCCCAGCCCCTGCAGGGGTATGTGTGGGCGCCATCGAAGCCTTGGCTGCCCCGAGCTCGCTTAGCCTGCCGTTCCTCCTCGACCAGCGCCGCGGTTCGAGCTCAGCGCCTCCTCTGAGCCCCGCCCTACGCCGGGGCAGGGGACCCAGCGGCGGCAGAGCCGCCGAGGCCCGGGTCTCAGTGAGCCCCCACGTAGGTTTCTACCCAAGGGAAGGGACTCCCCCCACGAGTTGCTCTGCGGACTGAAGGGCCGAGCTGGAAGAGGACACCGAGGCCCGGAGTAAAGTGTCGACTAGCTCGGGCCCTAGCCGCTGAGAACTGGCTGGTCGCTGAACTGCCTGCCCTGGCTCTAGTCACTCCATAGAACCTTCGAGAGGTTCACCAAGTTAGGAATCATTGTGTTCTCCCGTGCTCAGTTTTGGATGGGTAAACTGAGGCCCAGAGAAGACGAGACAATCCAGGAGCCCTGGGCTCATTTTCATTTCCACTGGCTCCAGCTGAGGGTTCCTACCCGCGGGATAGTCGGAGCGCACGTGACGAGTGGGGCGGGGTGGTCCTGGGTCCCTGCTCCCCGCTGCCCGCCTCGGCCCCAGCGGTCCGCTGGGCCCGCCTCCGCGCCGCGTGGCCGTTGCTGTACCAAACTGGCTGGGCGTCCCCCGCCCATCTGCTCGGGGCTGCCCTCCCTCAACCGGCTGGCGGGGCAACGGACAGCCGGCGGCCAGCACTGAGGACTTCGGGGCCGACCTATGGGCGGACGGTGGGCGGGACCTACCGAGAGCGGCCGAGAGGCGGTACCCTGGCTCGGAGCCGGCAGGCGCTGTCCAGGGTGCTGGACGACTCCCCCAACTCGTGCAGCCCCAACCCCACCTTCGCACCACACCCCCGCCTCTCGCTCCAAGTCCCCCTGCCCCATGCCCCCCAGCAGGGCTTGAGACGACCAGCATGGCTATCAGGGAGGGGCCCGGAGCAGTCGGGGTGACCGGGAACTCAGGCCACCCATCCCGGTCTGTGGCATTCAAAGGACCACTGGCCACCGTTTATGGAGCACGTACTGTATGCCAGCCACCTTTTAGCCCTCACCTCCATTAATCCCCATAACAATCTCTAATTATGAGAATAAAACATTCAATACATTTGGCCCAGCAAGGCCTGGGAATGTCTGAGCCCCTGTCCCTCTGGCATCACTGAACCCAGAGTAGCTATGGGCCAGCGTCCTCCAAGGTAATGAATTGCTCTTTAAGTGCTCCGAAAAGGACTTTGTGGATTACCTAGTGGATCACTAATGCCTCACACGTTCCTTCTCACTACACACACGCTGGCTGACTTAGCTCTGTGCCCACGAGACCACCCTACACCAACGTCTGCATGTTTGCTGGGAGACCCTGATGCTAGCTCCCGGGGGAAAGGTCTGGGGAGGAAGATTTCTCCTAGAACATCCCTCCCCATGCCTGTGGACCACTGGAGAGTGGGGCTGGGGAAGCAAATGCCCTTTTCGGTGACAGTTACTCCAAAAAAAATTTTTTAAGATTTTATTTATTTATTTGACAGAGACACAGTGAGAGAGGGAATACAAGCAGGGGGAGTGGGAGAGGGAGAAGCAGGCTTCCCACTGAGCAGGGAGCCCGATGCAGGGCTGGATCCCAGGACCCTAGGATCATGACCTGAGCCAAAGGCAGACGCTTAACGACTGAGCCACCCAGGAGCCCCTCCAAATTTTAAATTTCTTCTCCATTTTCCCTTGCTGTGAAGGTCTTTGACCAGGTGGTCCCGACTTTCCCTTTCATCAAAGGATTCTGGAGGGTTTGCTGATTACCTGGAGGAAGTATTATAATCAGGGAAACAGGTAAGACAGCTGAGTGGGCAGAGTGTGGGGGTGCAGGCTTTAGGGAAGGGTGCAGTGAGGACACACTCCACCCCTGGTCCCTGCCCTTGAGTGGGGGGGAGAGGTCTGAATGGGGTGGGTGAAGGGTTTCAGCCCAGCAGGGGGATGAGAGGAGGCATCCTGGTGGGGACGGAGCTGACATCTGGAGGAGACAGGGAGGTGCTCTAAGCATTTATGTCACCTCAGGCAAGATACGTTAAAAAATAGAAACAAACAAATCTCCTGGTGCCTCAGTTTCCCCAGCTGCAAAATGGGGATAGTGGTTGTACCCCTCTCATAGTGTCACTGTGGAGATCAAATATGCAGGTGAAGGGTGCCTGGGTGGCTCAGTTGGTTAAGCGACTGCCTTCGGCTCAGGTCATGATCCTGGAGTCCCAGGATCGAGTCCCGCCTCAGGCTCCCTGCTCAGCAGGGAGTCTGCTTCTCCCTCTGAACTTCCTCCCTCTCATGCTCTCTACCATTCTCTCTCTCTCTCTCAATAAATAAATAAAAATCTTAAAAAAAATATGCAGGTAAAGATGAAATTATTGCCTTTCACCGTGGCCATTTGTGTCACTCATTCTGTCTGCTAACGAAGCGGGCATCACAGAAACTGATGGGCAGACAGGTGGGCAGTCTGCAAATGACAACCTCATTCCAGGTAAATACACCTCCATCTTGTCATGCATCCAAAGCAGATCCTGCTGCTAAGAAGGCAGCCTCAGAACCTGTCCTGGGCCCACAGCAAATCCAAGCATTTGATCAGCTTTGCCATCTCTACCGAGGAAGTTCCAGGCTGGTTCTCCTCACAGAACTCTCCTGGGACCAGCTACAAGGCAGGTCATTGGCTCGCAGAGTGGCCTTGCTTTTAACAGCGTCTTCTGGAAAGAGAACTTCCAGCTGCAGCTCATTCCCTCACTTGCGACCGAGGACTGAGGCCTATCTGGGGCCCTGGCGCTGGGGACCAGAGACAATACAGGGGACAACAGGGGAGAGAGCGCCTCCCTGAATGGCTTGGCCCCTGTGCCTCCCCAGCTTCTGAGCAGAGGTTCTGACGTGGACTTCGGTGCCTGGGGTTTCTCCCTGCCCACCATTCCCCAGGGGCCTCCCTGATTCTTCCAAGATCCTGCTGCAGCATCAATTCACCAAATCGGTTGATTTTGTTTTGCTTGTTGAGCAAAGGAATGTCACATACCTCCCTCCAGCTTTTGCAGAAAATGCAGTTTGACTGTTGGGACTTTTTCCTGTTTCCCTGAAGCTTAGAGAAGCTTAGCGAAGGTGGGGCTCCGGCAGATGGCATTCCAGAATCTGTCATACTCTGCCCCCTCCAGCTGCTGGGTAACAGGGAGGGACTTGAACTGTTGCTGCTGGGATGAGGGAACAGTGGTTGTGGTAGAGCTGGTCTCGGTAGAACTGAGCCCTGCACTGGAGGGAGCCAAAGACCTGTGGAAGCCAGGGCATCTCCGTTCTCATGCCTTGATGTTAAAACCCAGTTGAGGGGTGCCTGGGTGGCTCAGTTGTTAAGCAGCTGCCTTCAGCTCAGGTCATGATCCCAGGTCCTGGGATCAAGCCCCACATCGGGCTCCCCGCTCTGCAGGAAGCCTGCTTCTCCCTCTCCCACTCCCCCTGCTTGTATTCCCTCTCTCACTGTGTCTCTCTCTGTCAAATAAATAAATAAAATCTTTAAAAAAAAACAACAACCCAGTTGAGTGTAAGATTTGCCCTTTCTAACAATAAATGCCTCTGTGTTTAGGTTCAAATATATATATATATATATATATACACACATATGCAGGTGAAGCTTAGCGTAGTGTCTGGGAAGGAGTAGGGCTTCCATAAATGTTTTCTTGTTGGCCTGGACTCTCTAGGGCTGCTGGGCAGGACCTGGTGGACCCAGGGGAGCCCAGAAGACCTGGGTCTCAGCCTGAGTGTGGGCAGTGTTCTGAGAGGAGTCTGAGAGGACAGTCAGCCAGTCAGCAAGGAAAGCTGCTCACAGGTGACCTATCCATGGCGGAAGAGGCTCGGGGTGTCTCCTCTGCCTTGCTGCCCCAGCAGCAGCACATCACCCCCATCTGGCCCCCAAATGACAAAACCATGTGATACATGAGGATGTCCAGGACCAGGGGAGCCACCGTGGGAGTGAAGAACATGAATTGCAAGGATTTTTAGTCACGGAGGAGGCACAGGGGAGGGGCACCAAAGACAAGCTGTTTTAGCTCTTTGTCTTCACAACACCCTGCCACGTGGAGGGCCCACGGTGTACCTGCTCCTGGGTGTGCTAGAGAAGGGCAGCTCTAGTGAACATCAAGAGCCCGCTGAAGCATGGCGGCTTCCAGGATAAGACTCCTCCCTCCCCTTGTCCACAAACCACTGGGTAGGGGTCCCAGGCCCAGTTGTCACAGGTCCCATGGAGGGAGCAAGGCTGTTCTGGGCCTTGGGAAGTGGGTGGCAACCTGCCAGGCTGTGCAGGCACAGCAGCCCTGGTTTACCGGGGCACCTTGGAGTCCTGGAGGTAATAATGCACAGCGCCACCAGGTGGCAGACCCAGAGGCCCGCAATAGGACTCCCACTGTTCTAGAAAGCAGGTTCACTCTATAGCATTTCTACAGCTCAGGCCTCCCTGAGCTGGGCCTAGCTAGGTGCTGGGTGAAACAGCCCAGGGCCAGGCCCTCACAGGGCTCCAGTGGGGAGTTGGGGGAGGGCGAGGAAGGACACAGGCTGTTTCAACTTCACAGGGCGTACTGACTGTGCTCCCAGAGCTACGCAGCCCCCGCCTTCTGGCAGTTCCTCCTGTCCATGACTAT